AAATTTCAGTAAGTTGCAATGAGCCAAATGGGAAAAGATGAATCAACGGTACTGTCAACCCCACCCCAGAGCAAAACTCCCTTTCTTCCCCCAGGATAACCTGCACACGTTGTATGTGATGCGGGATTTTCCAACATACAAAGTGAGGAAGCGAATCTCTGTCAATCTGTACATAAAATACTAATAAACTTAATTTTCTCCTCACTTATAAAAATAACTAATAACTATACATAGAAGTTCTACTTTTTCTTTCCGTAAGACAATGAAAGTCTTGGCGGTATGTACACTCTACTTTGGAGGTTGCTGGTATGGACAGGAAACCAGGGCAAGTATTTGTAAAGCGGTATGGTCAGAGCTGACCTTCTGAAAGGTGAATCTGATTATCTGTGTAACGGAAGAAAAACAGTAACAGTGACTCTTACTTCAAGCCCTACCCACCTATTATCACAATTGTTCCCAAGTACTAAGAATTCTGTCTGAACTTTCAGAGAGCCTAGCCTTTAAACAGTTACAGGAAATGTCACCCAACACCTCTGATATCCTGGGAAAATGAGGCTAACTTTTAGAGAGTTAGGAATAAAGAATACTAGCCATAAAGAGAAGAAAGGCTGAGCACTAGAGTGGACCTTTCTACAACTCAGAAACCAGGCATGATGAAAGAAGTTTTCTGAACATTTTGTTTCTTCTTAATACTGAGTGAAAACAGCCTATAAAACACATAGCTTATAAAACACTGGATTTGACGGAATCTAGGGGTGAGAGTGGGGAGTTGTTATCTGCTACCTCCCCAGACTTCTCCAATGCCACAGCACATCTTGAAAAACACTGGTCAGGGGGCTCCTGGGTGGCTCAGTCGTTAAGCGTCTGCCTTCTGCTCAGGTCATGATCCCAGGGTCCTGGGATCGAGCCCCGCATCGGGCTCCCTGCTCCGTGGGAAGCCTGCTTCTCCCTCTCTGACTCCCCCTGCTTGTGTTCCCTCTCTCGTTGTCTCTCTCTCTCTGTCAAATAAATAAAATAAAAAATCTTTAAAAAAAAAAAAAAAAGGAAAAGAAAAACACTGGTCAGAAAGATCTGGCTTCCTGGGCGCCTGGGTGGCTCAGTTGGTTAAACATCTGACTCTTGATTTCAGCTCAGGTCATGATCTCAGGGTCGTGAGATCAAGCCCTCATCAGGCTCTGTGCTCAGCACAGAGTCTGCTTGGGATCCTTACTCTCTCTCTCCCTCTGCCCCTCCTCCTGCTTGCGTGCCCTCTCTCTCAAATAAATAAATTTTAAAAATCTTAAAAAAAAAAAAAAAGGAAGATCTGGCTTGAAATGTTGGCCTCTCCTCTCACTATGTGACTGGAGGCAGATTTAAATCTTCTAGGACTTCAGTTTCCTCCTCTGCAAAATAGAGGTACTCACTGTATCACTTGGTTTGCAACCTTTTGATTGCAACTGACAGAAAACTTAATTCAAATTGGCTTAAACAAACAAAGGAAATTTACTGACCCTGACATGGACAAACCCAGAGTCAGGGTGAGTTTCAGGGAAGGCTGATTCAATAGCGCAAAAAATATCCCCAAGGACCTAGTCTCTCTATTCCTAGTCTTTATATAACACAGAGCCCCCCCTGCTCATGGCATCTCCCAGAATCTCCCCTTGTGGTAGCAAAATGGCTTCAGAGGTTCTAGACATTACAGAGTCCTACCTCTCTATCCAAGGGAAGAGAAAGTCCTGGAATATCTCACTCTTGTTGGCTTGAGTTGGAATATGTGTCCATCCATGAGTCACTGCTGTGGCCAGGGAGAAGGGGTGAGTGCAGGCCAATCACAGGTTACTCCAAACCAAGTGCATTAACCCTTCCAAACCTCATGGCTGAGGTGAATTCCTTAAAGAAAACCTAGTACAGAGCTTGGAGGAGAGAGAAGGGGCTGGGCAGGCGACTCACACATGTCTGCCTTTTAGGGTCATTCTGGGGATTAAATAAAGCACAGAGTGGACATGTAATAAATATGGTTTTTCGGGGCGCCTGAGTGGCTCAGTCGTTCGTCTGCCTTCGGCTCAGGTCATGATCCCAGGGTCATGGGATCGAGCCCCGCATCGGGCTACCTACTTGGCAGGGAGCCTGCTTCTCCCTCTCCCGCTCCCCCCTGCTTGTGTTCCCTCTCTCGCTATGTATCTCTCTGTCAAATAAATAAATAAAATTTCTAAAAAAAAAAAAAATGGTTTTTCTTCCTCTCTCTCTCTTTTTTTAAGATTTTATTTATTTATTTGACAGAGAGAGACACAGCGAGAGAGGGAACACAAGCAGGGGGAGTGGGGGAGGGAGAAGCAGGCTTCCCATGGAGCAGGGAGCCTGATGTGGGGCTCCATCCCAGGACCCTGGGACCATGACCTGAGCCGAAGGCAGACACTTAACGACTGAGCCACCCAGTCACCCCTCTTCCTCTCTCTATAAGGATTATCTTCCTCAGTGTTTAGTAAAAGCCCAATTTTCTCTGAAAGTAAGCACCCAAGTCTTGTGCAAACCAGTCCTCTCCTCACTAAGCCATCTTTTCCCACATATAAAAGCAATGCCCAATTCTTGAACCTCGTATATATTTGCTTCCCAGACTATTTATAGTCGTGGTGGCATCACCAACACAACCTGTAGGAAACAAAAATTGTAATCGATTATTTTGCAAAATGTGCTTATCTATTATGTACTGCCAACTAAACAGTTGGATATTTTTTTCATAAAATTGGCCACTTGTTTTGTCATCAATTTTCCAGTTTTAAAATAATTTCGATCTCTTTCAAAATACACAATTGTTCAACATCGGGAAAATTATTTTCTGTATGTTTTAGGATTTCCAGCTGAGCCTCAACTGGGATTCCAAGTCTGGTCGTATGTGATGAACCAGCAGGCTTTATATTTATATAAACAATATTTAGGGATGGCTAAGTATTCATTTATGTTAATAATTGGCTAAAAACTATAGAGCGAATCATAAGATAAATCTACTCCAGGACCCCAAATGGCCTCAGCTGCATTCTGAGCAAGACTCTGTGACCAAGAGCGTGTCCCGCATGCCCACCTGGCAGAGGGATGCCGTCCCACGGCAGGGAGAGCGAGGGCCGTCCGTGACAGGGTGTCCACCCTCTGACCCCACACGAAACCTAGGACTTGACATTTGTTTTGTCTTTCTAAACCTCGATCACGGAGCCGAGTGAAGTGCACTTTGTCAAATGTAAGGGTCTGCTTTGTTATTTTTAGCCTTCTGTTCCACCTTTTTCTTTTTTTTTTAATCGTGTTTCTTGTCAAATGCAGAAATGTTCCTTCCGCCACTCACTGAGGTTTTTGAATTCTGGCTTCTGCAGTTTTTATTGTCTGTGTCAGACGTACAGCCAGATGTGGTCCTCTGTCTGCATTTTCTAGATTCTGTTCCATCCACATCGACCCCCGTTTGGTTCTCCTCCACCCCCACTCACCCTCACGCTCTCTGAGAAAAAGAATCACCTTGTGTGTTGTAGCTAGCTCATTTGTTTCAAGAGAAAGTCAACAGATCATACTCAATGTCTTGAATAAGTCGTGCTTTTTGATACTAGAAAAAAGTATGGCAAAAGTAACTAAAAAGGAGCTGTAGTCTTTATTTGCATTTCACGAAGCAGATTATAGGGTATCCACTGCAAACCTCTCAGGAACTCTTCTTGAAACTCCCTTTCCTCTTTTTTCATCATACCCTGCAACTGCTTTGGAGCAGAGCGCTCTTGAGCCTCCGAAATTCTCTCCCAGCCCTCCCAGTCTATGGCCTCCTTGCACTCTCCCCCTTCCCTATTCCCTTTGTGCAGACTGGTCTCTGTGTTTCTGTTTACTCTCCTTAACCTCCACCTGGTACCTAAATTCCTCACTATTTGGAAGATCCAGGAACTAGCCCAGCAAGCAAGAATCTTGCTCCCTGTCCTTCTGCCTCTCGGTTCTAGTCTTTCTCTGTCCACTAACCTTGATTCTGAACCAAACCAAACCAAACCAAACCAAACCAAACAAAACAAAACAAAACCCTGAGAAGTCTGGCCTTTCCATTAGAAAGTGAGATGGTGAGAAAGATGGCCAAGACAAAACTCTAGAGAATTTTGTCCCCAGCCTAAAATGAGTGCGGGCAACTGTGGTGAAATGCTTTGCATACATTTTCTCATTTGAACCTCACAGCAACCTTGAGGGGTCAGGGGATGTCAGAGTCCAGGATTTCCACTTCCGAGCTCCAATGCTTGGTTAACTAGAGCACATCACCATTCTCTATAAAAAGGTCTAGCCACAGATAAATTTGTATCATTAACATATTCATTTACTTTAGTATAGTTTGCTTGAGGACCCTATATTATAGAAGTCTAATACCATAAACAAATATTCTGCTATTTAAGAAATTGAGTTTAGAGTTGGTGTTCCAATTTTAATCCAGTTTAGGAATTATACGTATCTTCATTTATTGATGATGATAATGTGCCAGGAGGTCAGATATGCAAAGAGACGGAGTCCAATTAATAAGGCAAAACATGTGTATATCCAAAACACCTATTATGAACTCAGTATTTTGCAAAGCGCTCTGAGAGAAATTTTTCATATATGTTTTGGGCAGACCAAATGAAAGAAACATCATATAATTGGAGGGGAGTTAAATTTTTAAAATGCAGGGAGAGGGCTAGCCTGCCCTGAAATCTCTCTGGGTGATGGTGACCAGTAGGAGGCAGCTGGCTAAGCAGTAGAGAGAAGAAGAGGAAGAAGGAAAAGGGCCACCACAAAGCCTAGACATCACTCACCCTGGAATTACAAGCAGTCAAAAGAGGAAAGGTTCTGGAGCAGATGAGTGTCAGGATGAAATTTATTTTCCTGACAAGTATGATTTCAAATTTTTAATCTGAGGTAGAATAAATAACTCCCTGTTCAGTGTTTATTGTATCCATGAGTGACTTCATTAATGCTCTTTATTTTCTGGGTTAGTCTGATTCCCAAGCTTTAAAAATGCTGTAAACACCTAGTACCTCTGGAGCTGTGAAGGGAAACCAGCTGTCTTAGGGTATGTCTTCCTGTGTTTCCTGTGTTTCTTCTGAAGAACAATGCGAAGTGGAGAAAGATAACCTCTAGAGACAGACGGGGTGAAGTAGAGCTCGAGTCCTAACAAAAAGGAGAAAACAACCAGAATGTGAAACAGCTCTCCTATCTGGTCTTCACTCAGCGTGGCCATGCCTGTTGCCCCCCACCCCTTCCATCCCCAGTGCATTAGTGCATTTAGTTTGTCCCTGCAAATTGAAGCAAAGTCTCCTTTTAATCCTGAAAGCATTTTTTTTCCCCTCCCCAACTATGATAGGAAACATTAGGCTTTCTATCATTCAACATGCATTTTTATCCCATTACTTAATGGAATAAAACAGCTAATTCATTTCTCCAGCCTTTTTTTTTTTTATAACAGTACAATCTCCTTCAGGGAAGAACTGGTGTTTGCCTGTCTTACAGTGATCAGGGTCAGATCCAGGCATCTCTCAGAGGGAGAAAGTCAGGCTTGACAGCATCCACATTTCACGGTCCTTTCCACATTCTCAGACCCCCCCCCACACACACACCTGGGGCCTTAAAATGCCACCCTTCTTTTCCCTCTCTTAAAACTGGAGTTAGAGTTTCATTTAACTGGAAATATTTAATGCCAGTTCTTCTTTATGGCCTCCTTTTAGTTTGCAAGCCTGTGCACAGACCACGGCAGTAGAGGGATATGCTCATATAGATGCTTGGTTAAAACAAACAAAGCCATCCAAACAAACAAATGTATAATGATACTGTTCAGCTGAGATCCCCAAACAATCATTTAAACTGAAATTCTCCGTGAAGCCACCCACCCGGAAGTAACCAATCCTTTTAATTCCCAGAGAACTCTGTCCTTCAAGTCCAGGTATGGGTCTAAATACATCTTTACATTTTACATTTTATTATAATTATCTGAGTATGTATATACACCCATATATAACATATATTTGTGAATATATATTTATGAATAACACATACATGCACATGCTTTCTACCTTTCTATCTATTGGATCCTTAGCTGATTAAGAGTAGGGTTCTGTTGTGTTTTTCTTTTTTTTAAAGATTTTATTTATTTATTTATTTGAGAGAGAGAGAGAGAGACAAGCAGACTGCACTGAGCACGGAGCTCAATGCAGGGCTCAATCTCACAACCCCAAGATCATGACCTGAGCTGAAACCAAGAGTCAGGCGCTTAACCAACTGAGCCACTCAGGCGCCCTGTGTTTTTCTTTATATTTTGCAGCACGTAATACTCAGCAAACACCAGCTGAAAGCATTAATGTAAATACAAAAGCTAATACAGTGATTCCAAATAAGCTGTCTATGTGCTGGACCTCCTAGGGGGCAGCATGCTAGGATATTGATAACATTCTCATCAATGGTTTACATTCTGGCAAAAGCAAATGGAAGGTTTTGTTTAAAATTGGTGCTTACAGTGTGGTCACATGATAGAGGATTAAGGAGTACTGAGATGTAAGAAGGTTAATTATAACTGCTAAGTATTTGGCTTTTCCATGTTTAGTTTGTTTGCAGTTCAGCGGAATAAGCTTTGCAAAGTCAAGCCAGATTTTTTTTTCACACCAGTTCCCAGAAAATCTTACTTTATATGAATAGTCTTTCTATACCTTATGACTAGTGGCCCTTTTTATGCAAAGGGCCAGAGACAGGTGCTGACTTCTTCCTTTTAAAAACTACTTTCTTGGGCGCCTGGGTGGCTCAGTCGTTAAGCGTCTGCCTTCGGCTCAGGTCATGATCCCAGGGTCCTGGGATCGAGCCCCACATCGGGCTCTCTGCTCGGCGGGGAGCCTGCTTCTCCCTCTCCCACTCCCCCTGCTTGTGTTCCCTCTCTCGCTGTGTTTCTCTCTGTCAAATAAATAAATAAAATCTTTAAAAATAAATAAATAAATAAAAACTACTCTCTTCTCTTTTATTTTATTTATTTATTTATTTATTTATTATTATTATTTTTTTAAAGATTTTATTTATTTATTCATAAGAGACAGAGAGAGAGAGAGGCAGAGGGAGAAGCAGGCTCCCCGCCAAGCAGGGAGCCCGATGCAGGACTCCATCCCAGGACCCTGGGATCATGACCCGAGCCGAAGGCATACGCTCAACCATCTGAGCCACCCAGGCGCCCTTTATTTTTATTTTTTAAAGATATTTTATTTTATTTATTTGACACAGAGAGACATAGCAAGAGAGGGAACACAAGCCAGGGGGAGTGGGAGAGGGAGAAGCAGGCTTCCTGCTAAGCAGCGAGCCCAATGCGGGGCTCGATCCCAGGACCCCAGGATCATGACCTGAGCCGAAGGCAGACACTTAATGACTGAGCCACCCAGGCGCCCCTACTTTCTTTTTTTAAAATATTTTTTTTTATTTGTTTATTTGAAAGAGAGAACCCTGCAGGGAGGAGCAGAGGGAGAGGGACAAGCAGACTCTACACTGAGTGTGGAGCTTGTTGTGGGGCTCCATCCCAGGACCCTGAGATCATGACCTGAGCCAAAATCAGGAGTCAGACACTTAACTGACTGAATGCACCCAGGAACCCCCCAAAACTATTTTCAATTACAAAAATATTATTTCTCTACATATAACAGTTACAAAGATCTCCACGCAGAAAGAAAAAGCGGAAAGAGAAACCATTGTTAATTCCACTACCACAGTTAAAAAATAACCACTGTTTATATTTTAGTTTATATCCTTTGAGATTTTTTTTCTGACTCTATTAATATGGCACATGTAGGCATGGATTTGTCCATTTTTCTGCCTCCTCGAGTCCAAATGGTTACAACATGTTTGTACTGTGTGCCTCTCCCCTCTACTGTAGTCATTGGTAGGTCAGTGAATGGACACCGACCCAAGCTGGCCCATTCTGGGTACCCGCTCTCTGAGGATGAAGCTGTAATGTTGAAATTGGGGGCTGCTGGAAGCAATCTTTGACTATGTGCAATAAGAAAGAGAAAACAGTCCAGAGTGAAGGAGATACATCAAAAACAATAAAGATGAGAGAGAGCCCTGTTGGCATCCAAGTGTCTGGTTCCAATTATTCTAAGGCTTGGAAGAATGTAAACTTTCTATAAGTTCTGTAGGTAGAGTGCGTGCTGTGGTGTCCTGTCCAGATCCTCCCACCAGGATGGAGGTATCCGTTCTCCCAGATGCCAGGAATGTCCATTGCTGATGGCTCACAGCTGAGTCACTTCCCAGGACTTGCCCTTGGGCTGAAAGTGTTGCTTGGACCAAGGTCACACATCCTCTGTAGGGGCAACCTACATCCAAAGATTGTTTGATATGTGGGTATAAAAGCCTGGCTCCTTGCCTTAATATGGGACAACTCCAGAGCTCCCCGTGCCATTGACTGTGGCATTGATCATGACGGAATCACAGTTGGGCTTTGCCCTCTGCCCAGTCCTCCTTTCCTCACTCACAAGTATTGATTCAAAGAACACTGCCCACTAAAGTTTCTGCATGCGAATCTCCATCTCTGAATGTTTCCTGGGGAGCCTCACCTAAGCCTGTGGGTGTGGCAGAGATGTCTAAAGTTCCACATTTTGCATTCTCCCTTTCTTTCTTTGTAATATGGCTTATAATGTAATAAATCCTTTGTAATAAATCACTTCACAATTATTACTTAAACTAGCCTAAGCGGCTTCTTGCTTTTTGTAACCAAAAAAGTTTTTTTTTTAAAGATTTTATTTATTTATAAATAAATAAATCATCTGAGAAAGAGAGAGAGAGAGAGAGCACGAGTGGGGTGAGGGCAGACGGAGAAGCAGACTCCCAGCTGAGCAGAGAGCCCGATGTGGGGCTTGATCCCAGGACTCCTGGATCATGACCTGAGCTGAAGGCAGACGCTTAATGACTGAGTCACCCAGGCGCCCCCCAAAGAGGTTCTAATACATTATTTCCTTCTGATAAATTTCTAGAAGTAAAATTAATGTTCTACAAGAGATACACATCTTTAAGACTTTGATCCCTCTTGCCACACATCCCACCAATTCACATTCTTATCCACAGCATGTGAAAGTAACCACTTCCCAGACTTGGCAGAACACTGATATTATGCTTTTAAAATTCATTCGTTCATTCTGCAAATGTTTTTTGAGTGCCTGCTATGTGCTTGGCTGTGTGCTAAGGGCTAGGGGTAAATCCCTGCCCTCGTGGAGCTTGCATTCTAGGTATGAAGAGATAGGCAATTAGTGAAATAGGTAAGTTATGTGGTGTACCAGAAGGTGGTAAGTGCTACAGAGACATATTAAACTGGGGAGGGAGGCGGGAGTGCACGGGGAGAGGGGTGTCCATTGTAAGTACAGGGGACAGGGAACCCCTCACTGAGATGGTGACTTTTCAGCGAAGACTTGAGAGCGAGAAAGGAACGGGGCGTGAGGATATCCGGGGGAAGAGCATTTTGGTCAGAGGGAACAGCACGTTCTAGAGGCTGAATCACACCTCATGTGTTCAAACAGCAACGACCTGGCAGGAAGTTGGAGTGGAGGGGGCGAGGGCGAGAATGGGAGATGTGGTTAGTGGGGTAATGGGGGCTGCTATGTGGTCCTGGGGTGATGGATTTCTCTAGACAAGACGGGAACCAGATGCGGGATTGGAATAAAGGACTTGTTCTCGCTTATGATTCAAGAGGCACCCTCGGGCTGCTGTGTTTTAAAAAACCACAGTGAAGGCAAAATGGGAAGTGGGAGGCCCGTCAGGAGACTGCCTACCTACCCCGATACACCAAAAATAGTATTTCATCATTGTTTGTTTGTTTGTTGCACTTGAATTTCTTATATATAAATTGTTTGTATTTCTCCTATTGGAAATGGCCTATTTTGAGATCTTTGTTGATGTTGCCATTAGCATATTTACCTTTCGCTGTGGATTTTCAGTGATAGTAAGAATGTCGCTTTTAGTCATATATGTAGTTCTCTGTTCCCAACTGCTCTTCTAATTTAATCCTGTGCGTGATTTTTTTAGGTAGAGATTTTTAATTTTTATGAGGACAGATTTTTTCAAAGAAATTTTCTGGTACAGATTCTGCTTGTGATAGCATACTTAGAATCTTGCCAAGACTATTGCTTCAGTTTAGGCTTTTTTATTTGCAAGCCATAGAAGCTGGCTTAACAAGGGAAATACATCTTAATACTTGGGATCTAAACTGGAACCTGGAGATAAGAGATTCGACCAGGCCACATAAGATTCTGGAACTCGGAACTAAAAACCTTACCTGGAACCAAAGCATCTTTCCCATTTCTCTGAGTTTACCTGCTTCACTCTCTTCACTTCTCTCTGCTTCTCTCTGAGCATCCATGTCACTCTTCCCTCTTCTTCTGTGATACTCTGTTCATCCATATTGTGGCCACCTCCATTCTGGCATGACTGATGAGCAGACTAAGCATCTCTTCACCTCAATTTTAACACATGGGAAAGAGAAACTAATTACACAGTCCACCCAGTAGATTGGCCTATTCTGCGACCTCCCTCCATTCCAAAAACATAAGCTGCGTCCAGGGAGTGTTGGAGTCACAGACTCTAAGGGGCTCATCTTGAGAGGGGCATGTGGAGAAAGGGCAGTTCTCATTGGGAATAGGGAACATGCATTGAGCATATACCATAAAAGAAGTACAATCCACATTCATCAACATTTTATTCTAATACTTCTATGGCTTTAAATTTTCCATACTTCTGAAAGCAATTTTTGTGTAAGGTATGCTGTAGAAGTATCATTTTGTCTTATTTTATATTGCAAAAGGTTAGCCACTTGTCCCCAAAATATGGCAGAAAAAAAGTTGAACTTGTGCCAAAATTGCTATTGAAATGAACCAGATGTCTTATAGCTCAGATTGTTTAAAGTATTTGATGAGTACCACTATTTAAATAATGTTGATCTAACTGTTGGAAACTCCTCTTGGTTATATGTTTTGTCATTATTGTTGTTCTTTACTAGTTAGAAAACATGCCAAAGGAACACACACACACACACACACACACAAAGCAATCTGATTTAAAAATGGGCAGAGGACCTGAATAGACATTTTCTAAAGAAGACATACAGATGGCAAACAGACACATGAAAAGATGTTCAATATCACTGATCATCAGGGAAATACAATTCAAAATAACGAGATATCACCTTACACCTGTCAGAATGGCTAAAATAAAAAAGACAAGAAATAAGTGTTGGTGAGGATGTGGAGAAAAAGGAATCCTCGTGCACTGTTGGTGGGAATGCAAGCTGGTGCAGCTACTGCGGAAAACAGTATGGAGGTTCCTGAAAACATTAAAAATAGAGTTACCCTATGATCCAGTGATTCTACTACTAGAAATTTACCCAAAGAAAATGAAAACACTATTTTGGGAAGATATATGCATCCCTGTGTTTACTGCAGCCCATTATTTACAAAGACCAAGATATAGGAAGCAAACTAGTGTCCATGAATGGATGAATGGATAAAGAAGGTGTGAGATATATATATATATATATTTATACACACAATAGAATATTAGCCATAAGAAAGGATGAGATCTTACCATTTGTGTCAACATGGATGGACCTAATGGGTATTATGCTAAGCGAAGTAAGCCAGACTGAGAAAGACAAATACCATATGATTCCACTTAAATGTGGAATCTAAAAAAACAAACAAACAAACAAAAAGCAGATTCAGACCTATAAATACAGAGGACGAATTCATTGTTGCCAGAGGGAAGGGAGTCGGGGTGGGGGGTGGGCATAATGAGTAAAGGCCAGTGGGAGATACAGGCTTCCAGGAACGGAATAGGTAAGTCAGGGGAATAAAAGGTACAGCCCGGGGATTATAGTCGATGACATTGTGCTCGTGTCGTATGGTGATAGATGGTAGCTACACCTGTGGTGAGCATAGCATAACGTATAGAGAAGTTGAATCACTATGTTGTACACCTGAAACTAATGTAACAATGTGTGTCCACTATACTCAGATAAAGAAACATTTTTTTTTAAACAATAGAATCAGCAAACATGATTACTCTACCTTATGATTCATTGACACAAGGAAGATGGGAGCCACCATCAGGCCACCATGTTTGAGGAAACTTTGTCCAGACCTTGGTGGAGAAACAGCTGAATTCAGAAAGGCATTATCAGTCAAGTGACTTCCACATCTTTTCCAGCCCTTTTCCCCATGGGGAAGGAGCATCTCCAGACTAGATAAGTCACAGAGATTATTGAAGAGGCAGAAACTGACCAAACAAACAAAAATCTGTCAAGATTGTTGTTAGTAATTATTTTGTCATTTGCCCAGTAAGATCATTTTTTAATTAATTATACCATGATTTTTTTTTTACTGGCTAAATAAGTGTCAGCAAATTACTTCTTTGATTCTCAATTTTTTCACTTATTAAATGTCACCATTGAACTAGATGATTTCTAATGTTTCTACAAACACAAAAATCCTGATTTACTAATTTACTAGTTTTCTGTGTAGAAGTGTGTGGGGCTGTATGAAACCGTTAGCTAAATGCTATCTTCACCCAAGGCATTACACACTCAGTGAAGCCAACACTCCAAAGACTAACCTACTAATGACACGTTAAGAAATTAGCATACATTTAATAATTTCTCCAACAGTGGTGATTGGGAGAGGAAAATTATCATCTCTTTCTTTAAATCTTTAGTGTAGACTTTGTAGAGAACATTTTTAATAGCTTTTTTGAGGTATAACTGACATATGACAAACTGTATGTATTTATATGCTCAAATACGATGAGACATATACCCATGAAACCATAATCACAGTCAAGATAGTGAACACATCCATCACCTCAAAAAGTTTTCTTGTTCTCCTTTCTAATTTCTTCTTCTAGCTGCTCTCCACAGACAACCACTGGTCTCCTTTCTGTCACTATAGATTAGTTTGCCTTTTTTAGGATTTTATTTCAATTGAATCAGATACCGTGTAACCTGTTTTTTTTTTTAAAGATTTTTATTTTTATTTATTTGAGACAGAGAGAATGAGAGACAGAGAGCATGAGAGGGAGGAGGGTCAGAGGGAGAAGCAGACTCCCAGCTGAGCAGGGAGCCCAATGCGGGACTCGATCCCGGGACTCCAGGATCATGACCTGAGCCGAAGGCAGTCGCTTAACCAACTGAGCCACCCAGGCGCCCCTGGTGTAACCGGTTTTGACTGGCTTCTTTCATTCCGCATAATTATTTTAGATTCATCCATGTCATTGTATGCATCAGTAGCTCATTCTTTTTTATTGCTGAGTAGTCTTGCAAGGTATGGATATAGCAGTTTGTCTATCCGTTCCCCTCCTGATGGGCATTTGGGTTGTTTCCCCTTGGGGGGCTATAATGAACAAAGTGCTAAGGACATTTGTGTACGGGTCTTAGAATGCACACAGGCGTCCATTTCTCTTAGGTGAAGACCTACAAGGAGAATGCTTGGGTCGGATGATAAATGCATGTTTAGCTCTTTGAGAAATAACTAAAACTGTTTTGGAAAGAGTTTGTGCAATTCTACATTCCCGCCAACAACGTAGGAGAGCTCCTATTTCTCCACATGCTCGTCAACACTTGGTGTGATCAGTCTTTTTCATTTCAGCCATTCTAATAGGGGTGCAGAGGTAGTTTACTAATTTTGAGTGAAGAGACATGAGGAGGGAGGGTGGAAAGACTGGTGCGGATTCATTTCAGGAAAGATGCCTGTCAGTTCATCTCATGCTACTTGGGTTCCCTCAAGCTGCCTTAGTTATTGATCCTGGTGAGTCGGGTTCTTCAGCTGATTTTACGATTCTAAATACCACCCTATGCCTTCTAATACATTTCTTTTATCTTCAAGGTACCAGAATAGGCCTCATCGCTTGTAGCCAAAGCCCTCCCTTTCCTACAGGTCACTCTGTTTACCTCTGCCTGGCAGGCCTTCCCTCACCATCTTCTGGCAACAAACCCCACCCATGCCCTAACTACAGCATCTTTGTCTCTAGACCCTATTGCCTCTAAGCCAAGATCTAGTCCTCTTAGACTTTGGATACATGAGCCAATAAACTCCCTTTTTTAGCTTAATCTAGTTTGGAGTCAGGTTTCCGTCACTTAGAACTGACAAAAATCACCCTGTGCCCCACCGTCCCCTGTCTGTCCTGTGCATGGGTTCTCAGAGCCAAGCATGAGGCCTGGAAATCAGCAAGTACTGAGTAAATAAACGACCACAGTTTTAAAATCAGACACATTGTTATAAATCTGTAAATATCAAGAAACCGGAAAGGTTGCTTTGAGAGGCATCATGGGTAAGCAGACCGCAGCTAGACTGCGAGGTGTGGATCCCAGCTCTGCCATTCATCAGCTCTGTGACCTTGGACAGTTTATTAATTTCTCTGTGTCTCAGCTTCTGAAACCCTAAAATGTGGATGATAATAGGACCTGCCTCCTAAAGCGATGAAGATTAAATGAGTTAATTTACCAAAAAAGCACTTGCCTGATATGTGCAAGATTTTTTTTTTAATTTTAATTTTGTTTTGTGATGTGGATAGGTTTTTGGATCAAAGAGTCAGGGTTGGAAAAGACGTTGAGTGTGCTCTCGAGGAATGACATGCTAAGATCTCAGTTACTAGTCATGGGATCTTAGATGAAATGCCGACTTGCCCTGAGAATCGGTTTTTTACTCTTTAGCCAGGCACATATAAAGACCCATGCTCTGGCTCAAATAATTGAACATAAGGTTGTTTAACAGAAGTTCACGTGATAAGGAACCTGAGTTTAGGGGGTGGCACTTAGCTCGCTGCAGGTTCATTTGGAGCGAGTAGAAAGGCAAAGGCTACCGTAAAACTTCCAAAGATTAGGCTGAGCTGCGAACAGTGGTGTTAAAGAAAATTATAACCCTCGGGTCCTCTGCTCAGTGCTCATCCCATAGAGAATACGTACTTAGCGCTTGGACAGGCTGGAGAGCCTCGTGGAGAGGGAGAGGAAATGCAGGGAGGTAGCAAACATGTGATTTGAAGAACAGATGAGAGCCTTCCAAAGGCTTGCTCTGAATGATGAGACTCAGAGAAGATGACATTATAGTCTTCAGACACTTCGGATACCGGCCTGTAGAGGACTTCATCCGACTTGTTCCAGAAGCCCAGGGTGGAAGGCTGCAGGGGGCAGACCCCAGCTCAGCGGGAGGATGTGCTCTTCGCCCAGCAGAGCGGCCTGGTGATGGTGAGGGCTGTCCTGCAAAGCTGCAAGCCCCTGACCCCGAGAGGAGCGGGGTGAATGTGAGTTGACGGACACATGAGCAAAGAATAATTGTGGGAGGGATGAATCATCCAGGACTGCTCGGTTTCATTTCACATTCTAAAAATACATGATTCTTGGGACGCCTGGGTGGCTCAGTCGTTAAGCGTCTGCCTTCAGCTCAGGTCATTAACCCCGGGGGCCTGGGATCGAGCCCCGCATCGGGCTCCCTGCTCCGCGGGAAGCCTGCTTCTCCCTCTCCCACTCCCCCTGCTTGTGCTCTGGCTCTCTCTCAAGCAAATAAATTTTAGATTCAAAGGGGGTTAACCAATTACTTGCTCAGTGAACTGCAACTTTTGAAAAGTAGCAGCAGCCACAATATGTTGGTTGCCCTTTGCCCGAAAGGCCCCATGGGCGTGGAAGAGCCATGGCTGCCCCCCAGGGCAGATTGCCCCCAGCCGGTCCCATCTTCAGGACTGTACCCAAGTGGTTAGAGTTGAGTCTACTTTCACTATTGCTTTTACCTGTGGCCACAGCCTCCGAAGAACACAGAGTCAAGCACTGGTTCTGTCTTGGTATGAAGTTAAGATGAAGCCTTGTGAATCCATCTGATTGTAGTTTTTCATTTTGGTCACTTCCCTCTCAGCCCTGGAGGCACAGAAGACAGGGTTGATGTTCAAATCTTGTCTGCAAGTACATTGCTTCCTGCGGAAAGAGTTTCCAGAATGTTTGCTCACAGAATAACCACTGGCTAGTGGAGCCCACGCTAAGTAAACACAAAGGAATTAAAATAAATCAAGGGGACCAGAATTAATTCGTTTACTCCACAGTGAAAGTGGTTTACTTTTTCTTTAAAAAAATATCTTCCTTCGCATCCTTCCTTTCCAAACACTGCTCTAACCTTTCTATGCTGCTTTTTCAAAAAAGAAAGAAAGGGCTGCCTGGGTGGCTCAGTCATTAAGCATCTGCCTTCGGCTCGGGTCATGATCCCTGGGTCCTCGGATCGAGCCCCGCATTGGGCTCCCTGCTCTGCGGGAAGCCTGCTTCTCCCTCTCCCGCTCCCCTGCTTGTGTTCCCTTTCTCCCTGTGTGTCTCTCTGTCAAATAAATAAAATCTTTTTTTTTTTAAAGATTTTTTATTTATTTATTTGAGAGAGAGAGAATGAGAGAGAGAGAGCATGAGAGGGGGGAGGGTCAGAGGGAGAAGCAGACTCCCTGCCGAGCAGGGAGCCCGATGCGGGACTGGATCCAGGGACTCCAGGATCATGACCTGAGCCGAAGGCAGTCGCTTAACCAACTGAGCCACCCAGGCGCCCAAATAAATAAAATCTTTAAAAAATAATAATAATAAAGAAAAAAGAAAAAAATTAGAAAGGGAGTATATTAAGGCTATTGTTTAAAAGCCTGTTTTTTAAAAGAATCTATTTCTTGTACATTGTAGACCAAATAGCAGTGAGAAACAGCCCATGGACACTTTGAGATAGATAGATAGATAAAAGTAAATATCTTGCAACACAGAAATTCTTAATTAAATACAGCTGTTTATCCAAATAGAGACAACAATTTAAACTTCTCAGACCTCTATTGTTGCTTTTCCTAGAAATTTTGTTTTTGTTTTGGTGCTTGTTTTTTTTTTTTTCTGATTTTTCTGATTAAAGTAATATATAATCCTTGTAAAAAAATCTGGAATATTTGGGGCGCCTGGGTGGCTCAGTTGGTTAAGCAACTGCCTTCAGCTCAGGTCGTGATCCTGGAGTCCCAGGTCAAGTCCCACATCGGGCTCC